AACGTTGGCAGTGATAAAGAAAGAGAGGGAGGGACTTCGGGGGGCGGGGGGGGTTACATAACAAACACAACTATATGTTCTAAAATAACAACAGTAAACCATTCAAACATTAACTACTGTACAAGGTTCAAACAGTCAAGCAGCTGCTGTGTAATAGAGACCAACTAATTATTCAGCTAATTTACTTCCATTATGCTTATCTTCATGCTCTCTTAAATATGACAAGTAAAGGGTAAGATCCTGAGCACAAAGTACTGATAGAGGAAGAAAAGAAGTTAATGACAAAAACAAAGAGAGCAAATGGTGTGGCAGAGTGTTTGTATGGATTCCAACATTGATCGGCCTTAGCTGGTCACAGGCCTTATCTCTGTGCACAGACCTGACACTGAGTGACGAACCTGCAGAACATCAATGCCCGGCGTTCTCTGTTTAGCACTAACCCGTAGATTTAACTGAAGTTTAGCTCAATCACTGTGAAGTTAGAATTTCAAAGCTTGATGGAAACAAGGACTGATATACCAAAAAATTAATATTAATAATGTAATAATAATAACATATGTTTACATCTATTTACATATTATTCCCTTCCAGTAATTTACATTATGATGGAACAGTTTTAACTTGTAAATCTGGCTCTGTGAGATCTACTTCTGTTGCAATAGGACTTTATGGAGAGAGAGGAAGCAATAGCTACCGTTTACATCTTAGACACTGTTATGATACTAGTTAAATAAAGCTAGAAATGAATGCCAGTCAAGGAATAGCATTATAAACATCCGAAATACTATGGAACAACAAAGGATGCAGCAGCCCACACATTCAAATAAACATAGTGGCCATGCTAGACATTTCAAAACAAGCCACCAAACAGCCTGCTTTTTTCTCTACTGAATACAAAGGGTGGAACTGGCCTGCTCATAGGTTGGCAATGTGCCGTCTCAAATGCCAGGGGCGCACATTTCTCCCTCTACAATATATTGCGGTAGGCTGATTTATGAGCTCTTTCAAGCTGCACCGATTATGTGCAGCAAAGGGGAGGGCTAGGCATAACAACGACGAGGGTCTGGAGCGCCCATCTCCAAAATGAAATGTAATTCGATGAACACGGGTGGAAGCTGGGATAGTGCCCACTCCAGTCTATAGCCTGGAAAGCCTTTGTTTACCTGGACAGCAGAGGCCCTAACCACCCAAAGCTCATTTTGCATGGTATATCACATTGATTAAAGCCCAGGGAGAAAAACAGACATGGTTTCAAGCTATAGCACCACACAAAAGAAAAGATGCAAAAACATGATTCTCTAAAGGGGCACATTAAAATTCATCTGGCCACAAACAAAGGCAAATATTATCTTTTATTCCCTATTTCTATTTATTTGACATGTCTTGGATTTTGATTATATTTCTGGAATCTTTTGTCTTTGTTTGTTGTCGCTCTGAGATTCCTCATTCACTTCCCCCTTCATCTGAATCCTCATTACCACTTCTACTACTAGCAGGACTCCTCTGACCAAGAGTCTGTGTTCCAAATTAGCTGTAAAGTCACGTGAAGGGCAAGCTCATGAAGGAAAATTTGTGGGTGAGAGAGACAGCACTGCTTGGTAGGACAGAGCTAATGTGCCTAGCTGTATTTTGGGGATGTATGGCCCTTTATTGCCTGAGCTGAGTCATTCTCAGAGCAAGAAGACAAGCAAATAATTAGAAGGAAGAAGCTGTAGGTTTAAAGAGATGGTAAAAAAACTGATAGTTCTAATAAACCAGGACTTTTACCATTCAAATTTAAATTCTGCTGTTGGTCCAAGTAGTGCTGATTCATTTCAACACCTCTGCCTTACTCTTCAAGCTGAACCGGCCCATCTCCAGGGCTCTTCAGATCTTCGGTGTCATTCTACAGTAGCTATGAAATCTTTCAGTTTTGTGCCAGATTTTCTGTAGTAGTTGTTTACAAAAAGCAGGTATGGTGTTGGATGGCTTCCAAACATGGTTCCAGTATTCAGCTGAGCAGCACAAATAAAAATGAATAATTTTAGCAGCTGAGCTGATTCCTTGAAGTAAGTCTATCACTAGCACAAAAATATTCTGGATCACACAAAAATGTAGAGCTGGAGGACACACAAAAAAGGCACATAACATACATAAGGCACATCATGCCAGACAGTGTAGCACCATGGCATATTTTGGGTTTAAGAGCAACTGAGTTGACAATCTAACACAAAGTTAAAACAGAATATCACTGTTTGTTTTCCTGAATCTGCAGCACAACTCACATTGCTTTGCTCTTCCCCAACATGCACCTCTATGCCCTTCTCCACAATTCTCCCCTTTTCTTACTCTGCTCAGCTCCCCAGAGAACGGAATAACTTGTTCAGCACAGGCAGGCTCAGTCGTGATGGGGATGCATGATTGACAGAGTGAGAAGAAGGACTGGAGGAAGAGACTTACAAGAAAGAAAACACCCGAGTGAGTGGGAGAGAAAGCAAGAGTACAGACAGCTGATGTCTTCAAAGGTTTCTCTGACCTTGCCAAGCATTTCTGAAGAGAGGAAATCAATAAGCAATGGAGTCAGGATGTAAGCAAGAAGGGCAGGGGTAGTTTCAGAGTAGACGGCTCGGGGATCACAATAATGATTCCATACATTTCTCTAAGCCCTTCATGCTAGTTGTACAATTCAATAACCTTCTGTGGGCAGGAAGAGGCGCTGCAACATTATAAAGCCGCCGACTGTTAACAGGCCAGTGGCATTCTGCAAAGCCATCAAAGTTCATACTAGATGAGGAAGAAAGTGCAGGTGGTATAACAAGCACATGTGCAAAATATCACTTATAAACTCATAAAATGGGAGGAAAGCAAGGGCATAGTGACAGTCAGAGTGAAATGTCAGATAATATCCCTGCTGCAATATGCAGCATGGAAAGCAACTTGCTGCTAAAATTGCTTTGTTTGAACTGGTCACAACAACACTGTATTGTAAGCAATCCTTTTGCCTAATTGGTGACTGATTGAACAAGTGTAGTATTTAATCTGAAAGAAAAATGACTGAGAGACGGCACAAGAGCCAGATCTTTGAACCCTGGCATTAGCCTATCTTTGGTATTATTTACAACTGCTCACTGATCAGTCAACCAATAAGCCCTGGGCATGCACCAGACTCAAGTCTCATTAAACCTCCCCCACCTTCCTTTCCTTTTCACCTATTACTGCTCCATATTATCTCTATTTTCTTGTCCTGTCTTTTAATTTTGCTCTACTGAGTGCAAAGAACACACAAACCAACACATGCTGCAGCCTAGGTTCTCCAAACACCTTCAATCCCACCCCTTTCTTCCACAGTGTCATCCTAAACGCGTACAGTGAAACAGAGACACAAACACTGTCAGAGCAAACATCTACACACAAAGATAGAGCTGTAGTAGAATCGAACATCAACAGAAGACAACAGAAGGAGGAAAGAACATCTCTTAGCAGTGCATGGCTCTTTGTGCTAGAATCAGTACATTGTGTCACTGTTCTTCTCACACAAGCCTCAAAACAAAAAGCATAAGTGATTTTGCTACTGGCACAACAGCCTTGATTGAAGCTTGATTTTGAGCAGAATATGAGCAGATGGCCAGTCCCTTCACATGGCTACTGTGTTCTGATATTTGTTAAGAGCCACTAGCCCTGCTGATGGGTCTTCTAGTTTTAAGCAAAGTGAAAGTTGAGATCTCACAGAGGTTTGGGAGTGTAGAATTCTGTCCATCTGGATTCAGATGGACAGGCCATGGCTTCGACCTGCAGAATTGTGCTGCTCTGTCGATTCCTCTCTTTCCCAACTGCATTTCTGTCCCCCCCTCCTTTGATTCCCAACTTCTTGCTTTATACACCATGTCCACTCACCCTTTCAGCTTTACTATACTACGTATCACTCCTCTTTTGCCTGCTCGTGCCCCGGTCAGACAAGGGCAAAGAGGCTAATGCTGGCTCTGAGGTCCAGTAAGCTCAGTCAGCTTTTCTTTTCTCTCTGTCAGTATCCATTTCGTCTAACGCTCTCCTGGGCTGTCATTACAGACACCAGAGAGCAGCGGGGTACCTCTGACCTCCTTGGGAGAGAAATTAATCAGCAGCCCATCTCTGAATCACTGCTTGAAAACACCTCAGACCTGCCAACACATCTTCACATACAAGCACACTCACATAAGCAGATGCTCTCTATTAGAAATAGTGTGAAAACCCCAGTTAGCGTTTCCATCCAAAAGTTAAATTCATGTGGAGAAAAGCAGAGGTTACACTCCATACAAAATTGGACTTGATAAAAAGATCTGTAGGGGATTCTGGCCTCACACAGCAAGACAGTAATACAATAAGCTGCATCTTTAATGCAATAAGACTTAGGCTGGAGATACTGCATCCCTTCTCTCAGCCCAGACCATTATTTAAGAGCCAGTAAAACATATTTACATTACTTAAGTTGACCCTTGCACTATACAGGACTGAATGAACAAACAAGAGAGCAGCACTGGGGCTTGGGAAGGGAGAAGCTTGTTTTTTCTATGTGAGTAAACATTCCCTGAATATTCCAGAGACAGGTCCTGGCCTGTGAGATGTAGCAAACCAGCACACATCTACAACAAGTAAATAAATAAAAGACAAAGCAAATAAAAAGCAGGTTGCACTATTCTTTCCTAAATGTTCTCAGGCACCCCCCCTGAGAACATTTAGGAGGAGGGAATAAAATATAATTAGGTCAACCAAAAAAAAGCGAGAGAGACAAAATGAATGCTGTGAAAATCCACCACAAAATGTCTTTCTAAATTCATGTGTGGGTGATTCTGTTTTGCCAAACACTTGTATTGACTGGATCAATGCAACCGCCTGTGCTTTTTGGTGGTTTTGCTAAATTCAGATTCAAAAGAAAATCAATCTTTACATGTTGCACCAACTGCAAGTCCAAATTGATTTGTTTTCTTTTGTGTTTCCCTGCTAACTACATTGTTTCTGAAAAATAAGCTTGTCATTGCTGAGATACCAAGGCCTCGTCACCACATATGATCTTTACCTTGGTCTCTGCACTAGTATTCCCTGGATCAGACACACCCACATAATGCTACTAAACAGCAGGGGTTCACACAGGATCAAACTACAGCTGCCTTCTGGTGCAAAGGCATGTGGTAAAAATAGGCACTGGTCCTGGAGCAAAGGATGTACAAGAGAATTTTATATGTTCATACATGCATGTTATAAATTCATGAAGCCGTGTATATATGCATGCAAAATACAAACTGCCCATGCTTAAAAGAAGCAGCAGGCAGTAAGAGAAATATGGGGGTTTGCTAAATGTCTAGTCTCATGCCTGACACCTTTATATTAACAAATGATGAAAGAAGTATTCAGAACTGTTCAACAAATGATATAGAAATCCACAATAATGGACAATAAAAACACATATTACTGGAAACCTCCTGATGGAAGCCAACCGCTCATATTACAGATGGGAAGAAATGTAAAATCACATGGTGGTTAGCACCGCTCTGCCTCCATGGTAGTGACTGTGATCATAAAGGACAGTGGACAGATATCATCAGATCCCCCTGTGTGATTTTGTGCTTGCTTGTATAAAGGTAAAAAAAAAATCACTCTTATTCCAATATTTCACTAAGTGCTGTAAAAGGGGTTTCTGAGCAGTCTGCATAAAAATATACTATTTATGCAGCTCAGTGACAGACGAAGTGTAAGCTAAGTCAATAAACTGTTTTTTTCAAGTTAGCAAATCTACCACCCCGCTCTGTTTAAATATATATAATTCTATTTTCAAATAACTCAGTCTCAGTTTCCAGGCATTGTGCTTTCCTTAGACACAAAACATCCAGACAGATTTCCTACTGTAGCTACCCATAATGCCCCACCCCAGCCTGTCTGTCCCTGCAGAGCACCTAATGGAGCCCGAGTTTTGTCTGGAGATTTTTGTAAAGCAATTGCTGCAGATATCAAATGACAACTAGTCATCTATTTGAGGATAATAAGGCCCACTTATGCCAGAGCACATAATGTAGATGTCGACAACAAACACACATAGTCCTCTGACAACTGGTGAGGCCGGTCGAGTGTGGCGCCTTATGATGGCTTGCTTTTATTCTTAGCGGTATAGCACGTAGTGTCAGCAACAGACCAAAAAAGTGTCTGTACTGTAAGTTAAATTTGACTGAATCTACAATAAGTTGACACGTGAACTTTGTGAGGGTGGCACAGTGGTATGGTGGCTAGTGCTGTTGCCTCACAGCAAGAATGTTCAGGTTCAGACCCAGTACCTTTTTTTTGTGTTTGCATGTTCTCTCCGGGTACTCCAGCTTCCTCCCACAGACCAAAGACATCTAGCTTAGGGTGGCTGGAGACTCTAAATTGATCCTAGGAGTGTGTGTGTGTGTGTGGTTGTCTGTCTCTAAGCGTCAGCCCTGTGAAAGACTGGTGACCTGTCCAAGATGTACCCCACCTTTCGCCCAGTGTCAGCTGGGATTGGTTCCATCCCCTGCCGACCCTGTTCAGGAATAAGCAGTATAGATGATGGATGGATGAAGTTTAGATAAATTAGGAATGCGTTTGAATATTATTTTTCTAGGTCTGACAATTGTTGACAGTTTAAGGCTGTGATGTGATGAGAATCTGGGGGTACACAACCATCCGTTCAAGAACTTTATGGGTGTAACAGACTTACAGGAATGTTAGTAGTATAGCTGCATTAAAGAAGATAGTCTAGGACACAGTTTTCCCTATGTTCTGTATATATAACTTAGATGACCAACTTAGGTAGTTAGTGACTACAAAGTTTACTGTACAAGCTCTGGGTGTCAGTGTATGTAGTGATTTGCAATGAGACAAGAATAGTCTTGCTGATCCCTGAGCTGCCAATAAGAGACAACAGTGAGAGAAGAAGAGCAGGAGGAGAAGAAGAACATGAGGAGAGGTGCTAGAATGGAGGACAAACTATATGTGATTTTTCTTCTTGCAGAGAATTGGCTGGGTAAAAAAAAATACAGTATTTCTGCAAGAGAGCGTATTCTTATGTCTAATTGAAGACATGTCTCTCTGTCGTAAAGTACAAAAGCCAAAAATCATCAGATGAAATATAGAAAAAAAACACAGAGTAGAGTAGAATGGGAGCAGGAGACATGTAGAGAGATGGATATTGTATATTGGGAGATGGGTGGTTTCCATTTGGTCTGGTAAGGCCTCAAAGTCAATCTTCATCAGGAATTCCATTTTGGTGTCGAGCTCTGACTGAGACTGGAGGGAGCAGAGGGAGGAGCAGCCGACCAGAAAGATCAAAGCTAAATAAAAGTGAGGACCAAATCTGAACTACTACTGTAGCTTTACAGTAGAATTATGTACCTGCTACTGTTCCTGCACAGAGAAGTTACTGGCCGGTGTTTTGATGGTATGACGTTCTCCCCTGGTGCTAAACTGGGGCTGCAAGTATTCCAGGGGGGACTCGTGCTGTGAGGGGAGAGCAATTTTGAGGCTTGATGAGGGCACTTTATTTAGGTTGGCAGAGAACTAAGATAAAAAGGCTTTTATGGCTTTATGGATAGGGATGGGAGATGAAGTATGGCTGCAATATTAGAAAGCAGGGGGAGTACAGGAGTTGAGATGACATGAGTCTAAACTGGATATCTGACTTCACTGCTTTAAGGCACAGCTAAGAAAAACTTTTAGAAAAAGATTTGATAACAAAGCCTAAACTGGACTCACGACAGCCTTTCTCGTCGCTCTTGTCAAAGCAGTCGGGCAGTCCGTCACACTGCCACCCACCTGGGACACACTTCCCATCTCCACACATGAAGTTTCCAGGGATGTTGCACTCTGTGGTGAAGTTATTCCCTGGAAGCAGCTGGCTCTCTGATAGATAAACAAATAGAAGAGAAAGAGAACATACTATTACAATTTCACTCTATAAAAGGAAATTCAAAAAAAGGGGATATTACATTCCAGCAATATTCATCACCTCAGTCACAATGGAAAACTGTTATGATCTCCACTATCTAAAGATAGAAAAATATTATAGGCAGAGGCTCTATTTAAAAGCCCATATCGATCTACAAGAAAATAAACAGAGGACAATCTCATGAATGCAGAAGCAGAGGAGGTCATTCAGTGCTATTGTGGGCATAAGCGCCACTGTAAAGCACTGGGCAATATCATATTAACAAAGATAAGGTTAGAAACACCAAAGTACACTCACACACACACATACACACACATTGAATATAGATGCACAAGTGCACACACACACACACACACACACACACGGACCTGAAATAAACACAATCAGCATAAAACATGTGTCCTGAACTATTTGGGGGCATTTCTAGTTGACAGGGCGCAGCTGCTGCATAATGGGCTGCAATGTGAAACACGGCCTTTTGGCTGAGGTTTGACGCTATACGGTGAGCAGTCTAGCTTGTAAACAAAACTATAGAGCAGTAACGAGGAGTCCCGGACACACCGGGGGAACAATTTCCTGCAGCAGTGCTAAAACCGGATTCACTTCACTTCGTTACAGATGACAGAAGGACATGGAGGCAGCACCTTGCTGCCAGTATGTTTGGACCTCAGCAATGATGTGGTTTTACCAGCGCCGAGTGACTGAGACACAATACAGAGCTCACTCTTTAATGTGTGCCACTCCCACTGTGAAGAGCAGTGATGAAAAAAGAAATGAAAAAGGTGATACTCAACATGTTTTCATCCTATACTATACACTCTAAACAAATGAAACAAGCTAGGATAGCCTCTGTCACATTGACAGCGATACAGAGTAACACTAGTTGGTTTTAAAGGTGACTCAAATGTGAGCCTTCCTATCATCCCCATGCCTAAAATAACTGCTGAATCATCAAGTGCCCCTTCTTTTTGTTGAAGAGAGCGACTGTGTCCAAGCCTTTTTTTTCCCCATGAGTTTCTAAATGATTCATGCTTGTTTTCCTTCATGCTATATAAAGCATATTGTGTGATCAATCTCATCTGGCAGCATCACTGGTCAAGACAGACATTAATATCACAAAAAAGTGGTGTTGACTTACTCACACTACAATAATGTTCTACAAAGAGAATATTTCATAAGGATTCAAAGTGTTCAATATTTCAAAATGAACCAGACAAATGAATTCATTTTGTGCAGAAGAAACAGGCTTTGTTTTCTCTATTTAATCATTACAGAGACACATTCTTGACTAGGCAGTATTCATTATTGAAGAATCCATTGTACTCTGATATAAACAAAGTCTCAACCTTTGAATGATTGTAAACTCATAACCAGAGCTCACAGGCTTAACACAGTTAGCTGATATTCACTTAGATGTAGCCAGTTCCCAGGACACAGCTGAATAACCGACACACAGAAGTCAACTCTTCTTACATCATCCTTCTCTCCTGATGCCCTTTTACCACAGCAGGTTCTGGAAACCATACAGAACCTCACTTAAATGAGACACAGGGACTGTTCTCATCCTCTGTAGGAATGATGCAAACTCCTCTTTAGTTTCTTGCAATATAGACAAAGGGAAGTGAGAGGCTGAGAGAAGAGGCTCTGGAAAGCATTTCAATGATCATTTCTCTCACTGGTGGGACTCTATCCAAATGCAGCAGTTGATGAATAAATGTGCTGAAATGTGTCGACTGTCTGTGCCAGCTTCTTTACCACCTGTGTCTGACATTTCAGTCACCAGATGACGACGCTACAGAAACCACGTTTACCAATGGTGAGCCTCTTGAATATATGAACAGCCACCCAGGTTTGTTTAAAAAATGCCAAGTGTCAGCTTTTAGTAATCTATCTGAGAAAACACCACCATCTTTTCGCAACCACCCTGTGCACCCCTGTTGGTTCACAAAAGAAGGTATGCACATTTTGGTGGAGATACACTGTTATAACAATGTTGGATGGAGTAAATGCACTACGAGCCACTGCAGTTGGAAAGATATAAACATATTTCAGGAAAAGAGGGCTCTTCGATGATTAAAACACTTCCAACCAAAAATTTGCATATTATTACAAACCTGACACTTTGTTCTCTTTGCATTCTTTTGATGTTTCTAATGTAGCATTTTTCAGACCAGTGGGCCAGACTGAGATGAATTAAGCTCACATCACATGGAAAAGGTAAATCATGCTGGCTTCATAATCCAAATACAACGTACAGTATACACCTTTTACACTATATATGTGTATTATAGATCCCTCAGCAGCTGGCAGCCTTTATGAGAGTTTAAATACAAACTTACATAGAAATAAGTGTGACAACACAACAGAAACCAAAACTGAACAAGCATATAAGGGAGTCATTTGAAATGACTTCGAAAAGCTGAAACATCAGGTTAATTGAAGAGCTGCTTTGAGAGTACAAGAGAGAGAGGACTGTGTGTTTTGTGTGTGTGTGTTTGACAAAAGGCCAAAGATAGTCAGACAGGAAGAAGACTGAAAGTTCGTCTTTTCCCATGAATCTCTACCAAAAGCAAACCTTTTGCAGCACTTCTCACTTCCAGCTTATGAGTCCCTCTTTTTGCAGGCTGGGCGCATCTTATTCCAGTGCCCCTGTCATTCTGTCGATACAGCAATAAGCCTGAATACTTGCGGTGGTTTACCGTTGAGGTAACAAACAAGCCCACCTCATTACCACAGTAAGTGTGTGGCTCCACAGCTCATTACAGACTACTCTATACGCTTGTTACCAGAATAACTCACTACAGTGCAACACTCCCAAGGTGACCCAATGAAATTAATGGACATGACACTATCTATGCATGATGACTCACTCATGCGTTCCATATGCTTTTATCTATTTGTTTGAAGCATTGTGCACAACACCTGTGGTCACACTGTGGGTGTGTGAGGATGAACTAGAGGCAATAAGGCAGGGACTACACTGGACACCTGTGTATCTTGCTGGGGGAAGTGTAGACCAATTACTGAGGATAAATATTGACTATACTGTCCTTGCTTTTGCACACCAAACCTCCACCACCTGCCACCCACCCTTTTCCACCATACCTGTATCCACTAAGGCCTCATTCTGTTAAATCAATGAGCATAGGATCTTTTCAAGTTTCAGCTGGATACTTCTTAATAAGCATTTACATTTGCTGTTTGCATTAGTTCCAGGAAGTTTCACTGGCTCATTCCTCTACTCTATTCAGCTCATGAAAAAAAAATGAACTCCAAGCATGAACACAAGTTTAATTTCCCAGCAGTTCTGAATAATCCTGAAATTAAATTTGAAATTTTTTTTCCAATATTTTCTACAGGGAAACCATCCCTAATGAAATCTTTCCTTGCTTCATGTCGGATTGTAAGTGACATGTAATCTGAGCTCCACTGGTATGCTGTGTAAGGTTATATCCACAACATAAGGACAGTTATGAATGCCATCGTCCCTCATATTTTCACAAAGTTCATTTTCCCAAATAAGGTTTTGTTACTTAATTCAAAATTCTTAAAATTCTATTCCTTCTCACTAAATAAAGAGACCATTGAATATGCAAACATTTTCAACAGTTTAATTGCACTACACACAATTTCTGTTACTTCCATGAACATTCATAGGCTTCAAGTTTTTACATCACGCCTGTGCAAGCTGCATTTCAAACCACAACTGGCTTTAAAACTAGTCGCAATGTCACAACATCATGCTCTTACTGTATACCCATGTCAACTCAGATTTAAGGTGAGCAGAGAGAAACTTCCCCCCATTCAGCAGAATTTGAAAACAGCCTTCCAGTGTCAAACCCTGCACATACACTATGTGTGATGTTCTGCAGAAAAGGCAAAATATCCAAGGAAGCAAGCAAAATGCATTTTTTAGAGAAAGGCGACTTTAAACATACCTGGTGGAGTTTTGACCACTAGTAGGAGTATTTACCTGTGAGTCCCCATATTGTTCATACCATGCACATACATGATCATCCAGTGGTTTTGCAGTAACATACAAAGAAACAGAGTAATATACCCGCAAAGGAATGAAAGAAGACTGTGAGCAAGGAAATATGGATATAAACAATGTAAATGTTTGATGAGAAGGAAAATGTACTCAATATGTTTGTTATAATGAGTTGAACACTGACGGTAAAAAGTCTTCAACCAAAATAGAAATTTGTGGGTTAAATTTGAGGCCAGCTGTCACAAGCAAGGCAAAAAACACTAACACATCCCACATGTAGAACCCCCCATCCCCCCCCATATGAAAATGTTATAGATATGGAGCTGGAAAGATCTGGGGAATATGCAGCCATAGCCTCTTAGAAGGGCTGTCAGTTATTCAATATCTTTGTTGCCCATTTGAATTAGGGAAAAATAAACTCAAGTCAGCGCATAAATGGTAAGCTTCCAACATTTATTCTAAAATTTCCATGGGTACACTTTATACATAATGATTCTGTAAATGGCAGCCAGGAGACTTCATTGCACCCTAAGCAACTATCTGAATATGCAAAGATGGGCCAAGCAAAGGCAGCTCACGGTCCAGCCACCCACATCTGCCTGTCTCCCGGGGCATATGAATATTTCCATACCAAATGTCAGCATGCAGCCCAAACACTGAACAGCCAATTTGGTAATAAAATCTATATTACTCTCAACAGAGGCTATTGAAAATTTAATACATTTTAAAGCATATGGATGGCCTCCCCTTTAAGACCATTTTAGGTACATCTGGGACCCGGGTTATGCTATTGGAGGCACCACAATAAATGTTCCTGCAATACACAAAAGGAAGATAGTGGAAAGTACTGTGTGATGGGGGAAGATAGACCACAAAATATGCAATGAGGAATAAACACAACAGGATGCAGGGAAAACGTGTGACTGCTCACTAAGGAACATTAGAGAAAAAGATAAGGAGATA